CCCCCCCCCAAAATTTAACCCCTTCTTTCCCCCCACAGGAGGACGAATCCCCCCGGAGCGTCCTGGAGGAAATGGGGCTGGCGTAGCCCCCCCACCCCAAAATTTTGGGGACCCCCCCCCACCCCAAATTTTGGGAACCCCCCCAAAATTTTGGGGACCCCCCCCTGCACCCCCATGGGACCAATCCCAACCTGGTGGGGGAGGGGACACCCCCCTGCGACCCCCCCAAATTGTAAATATATCTATAAGGGGGGGGTCCCCAAATTTTTTTGGGGGGTCCCCAAATTTTTTTGGGGAGGGGGGGTTCCCCAAATTTTTTTGAGGGGGGTTGGGATCCCAATTTGGGGGTTCCACCCCCCCCAAATTTCCCACAGCTGCTTTTTTTGGGGGAGGGGGGGGTGGGGAATTCTTGGAATTTTTTCCCTCCGAGTTTTTTCGGGACCCCTCCCCCAAATTTTTTGGGGACCCCCCCCCATCAATTGTGGGATCACGGTGCCCCCCCCCCAAAAAAAAAAAAATTTGGAATAAAATCTGTGGAGACTCGAGGTGAGTTTGGTGATTTTTTGGGTTATTTTCTCATTTTTTGGGTTATTTTCTCATTTTTTGGGGATTATTTTATCCCTTTTTGGGATTATTTTATCCTTTTTTCAGGGATTTTATCCATTTTTGGGATTTTATCCTTTCTTGGCAATGTTTTATCCTTTTTGGGGATTATTCTTTCATTTATTCTCATTTTGGGGTAATTTATCCTTTTTTGGGGTCATTTATTCTCTTTTTGGGGTCTATCCCTTTTTGGGGTAATTTTTCACCTTTTTGGAGTCATTTATTCCCTTTTTGGGGTCATTTATTCTCTTTTTGGGGTCATTTATTCCCTTTTTGGGGTCATTTATTCTCTTTTTGAGGTCATTTATTCTCTTTTTGTGGTCGTTTATTCTCTTTTTGAGGTCATTTATTCCCTTTTTGGTGTCATTTTTTCCCATTTTTCGGTCATTTTTTCCCATTTTTCGGTCATTTATTCTCATTTTGGGGTCATTTTTTCACTTTTTGGGGTTACTCTGACCCCTCGTGGGGCTGTTTTACCCTGGGGGGGGCCCAAATTTTCCCACCGCCCCCCAAAAAACGGGAGGAACTCGTACTAAAATAGTCGCTTTTATTCGATAGCAAAATTCGTGATTGGGGGGTTATTTACAGACAACCCCCCCGCGGGAACTGGGAGGGAACTGGGAGG